ATTGGAACATTTCCAAATTATTTGAAGTCTTTTCAATAATAATATTGAAAATTTTATCTAACCGTATAATAAATAATATATTTAAGATTTATTTTCATTTTTTTATGTTTGGAGCATAGATATTAATATGTTTATGTATTTTACATGCATACAGCAATTTCATTTATATTATTGATTAGAAGTTTTACAATTTCAAAAATTTTTTTTTTTATTAAAAAGTATTTTGAAATTAAATAGAAAATTTCATCATAAATTTGTTATTGATCTTTGAAATCAATCAAATACATAACTCAGATAATCTGTTGTGTAAATTGTAAAGATAATCTATGGAATTTGATGCAGAAAAATTGCCATTATTTGAATTATTTTTACTGAAATGAATAAATATTTATAAATACTAATTAACTAATAATTAATAGGTATTTTTATTATTATATATTAATTGTAAGTTATTGTAATAATTACTGATGTTTCTATTATGGAGGGCAATACTAAGAATTTTCTGTAGCTATCTTATAGTTATAATTACTTGCTCGGTGTATATTCTATATTTAGAAGAATAGTTAGTTTGAATTACATATTAAATTTTGAATTTGTTAGTTTGCTATTAATGTATGGTATATATTAGAAATACTTATTTTGTATTACTGTTATATATTTGCCAATGTAATAAATATTATTCTGTTGGTAAATAATGTAGTAGTTTTGTTAGAATATTTCTCCTTTTCAGCATATAATCTTGTTTTCCAATAATTCCAATAATTTTGAAATAATGTAGTAATTGTAGTAATGAATAGAGTTATATAATTCTGAATAAAGTAAATATAAATTTATTGCAATGACTGTTTCATGATATTTCATTTTTATATAAATTTACAGGAAAAATTTTATATATATCAATATTATTGTAAGAAGTTTTTAAAGTTTTTATTTTTATTTCTTTCACTTAATAATTAACTTTACAATGTAAACATTTAAACAATAATTAAAAATAACAAAAAGTAGCTTTTATTATATTTTAAATTTTATAATGTTAGATGAATGTAATACTTAATAAAAAAAATTATGTAATCAGAACTTAAGTAAGTGATATAAATAATAAAATATTTTATCAGTAAACAAATTTCATACTTTTAATAATAATGTAATTAATTCTAACATATTTTTAAAAGTTATATAGATTTTTAATGTAAGCTTCTTGAAAAATGGATAACATTCGTTCCTAAACTTTTAAGATATTGTTAATAAGGCCATTTAATTCTTTCTAATTTAGCAATAATATTTACATTTAACATACTTTTGACATGATTTATTTCATTATTTGATTAAGATTTTTTTTTTTTTACTTATTCAAAATTATTTGTATATTTTTCATGCTTCTTTCTCATTAAAATTTTTGAAAATGTTAATATAGTAGAAGCCATTAAAATAAATTTTATTTATCTTAATGGTACCTGTAATAACAAGTATTGTATCTTACAGAGTTGAATAATCTTGTTAAAAGACTTATATTAAATACAATGATATTTTCTACAGGAAAAGTTAGTTAATAATTATTTAAATATCAAATAGAAACCAATCTGAATTCTATGGAAGATTTGTTTTCAATGATTTTTCAAGTAAATAGAGGTATTCATCAATAATAATAACAAATGAGATTATATTAGTGAAAAATTTTTAAATTTTATATATGTTATTTTAGATTTAAAAATGTTTTATGAATTTTAAATAAATTCTGTAAATAAATTCTTAATATTGTTGTTGAATATAAGAACTTTCAAATTTCTTTAGTATGTAATTTTAATTTAATCAGTTTTAATGATTTAACAATAACACAATTTTCACGTTTTATTTTCAATAGTTAAATTTTTCAAGATGATTATTATTTAACAAATTTTTATAAAAATTTTTACAACCAATCTATAGTAGATCTACATTTTGTATGTATATACTGTTTTATCTATATATATAAATAGAAGATATAAATAGTTGATAAACTAACATTTAAGTTAAAATTGTTCAGATAGCTAGATTAGAAAATAATAATGCTAACAATTACTGTTTTATACAGTAAAACCTTGTTAAGTCGAAGTTTAAGGGTTAAAAAGTCTCAGCTTCAATTTAGAGTTGAGTTTAATACCAGATATTTTTCAAATTTTTCTGTGGTCATAAATTTCCCATTATCGAGCTGTTTCTCAAGAATCTGTTCACAGAATGATTAAAAAAGTATACAGAGTTTATAACTGCTTTTGAAAACATTGTTAAGGTGCCCCATTGTATCCTATTTTACTGATGCAGTTTGTGATGATAAAATGAAGATCATAGACCCATCAAAGAGTGGAGAGTACATGGAAAAATAGATTATAGTTAAAAGTACTGACAGTTTCGTCTTAACAAGACTTTATTACATGGTAAACCTTACACTATACCCAGGACCTATGGACAGCTTTGAGTTAATACAGTACAACTTACTGTTTTACTGTATATAAATATTAAATCTCAAATAGCTATACTTTAAATAAATGTATTGTATTTGATACTAAATTTTTATATAATCTGATATGTTATATTCAGCTATTCTATCTATATATGCAGAAGATAACTGAAATGATTTTTTTATAATGTTATATTTTAAATAATACTAAATTGATTATATGATATATGATTCAAAGTTAATAACAACAGCTATACAGTAATTTATCTTTTGGATAAACTATTATCACTGATAATTAAGCAAGTCAGTAGTTGGCAAAGATTTTTTCCTTTATTCTCAATTTGAGATACTGTATAGTATATTAGATGTAGTTTGGGAAATTATTGTTTTGGATGTGTAATTTATAAATTCAAATTTTTTAGTCTGTTTCCATAATATTTCAATAATTTAATAAAGCTAATATAATTTAATATTATTTGAATATGCTGAAAATGATTATCTAATTATTACACAAACATTTATATTATGCTTGGTGTATATTCTATATTTAGAAGAATAGTTAGTTTGAATTACATATTAAATTTTGAATTTGTTAGTTTGCTATTAATGTATGGTATATATTAGAAATACTTATTTTGTATTACTGTTATATATTTGCCAATGTAATAAATATTATTCTGTTGGTAAATAATGTAGTAGTTTTGTTAGAATATTTCTCCTTTTCAGCATATAATCTTGTTTTCCAATAATTCCAATAATTTTGAAATAATGTAGTAATTGTAGTAATGAATAGAGTTATATAATTCTGAATAAAGTAAATATAAATTTATTGCAATGACTGTTTCATGATATTTCATTTTTATATAAATTTACAGGAAAAATTTTATATATATCAATATTATTGTAAGAAGTTTTTAAAGTTTTTATTTTTATTTCTTTCACTTAATAATTAACTTTACAATGTAAACATTTAAACAATAATTAAAAATAACAAAAAGTAGCTTTTATTATATTTTAAATTTTATAATGTTTTNAAAAATAATGCTATGAGAATTCTTATTTTTCAAACTGAAATTATAAATGTACAGTTATCAGAAAGTATACCAGATTCTCTTTTATCAAGAGAATATCTAGTATTTTTTAAATGCTAGATTTTTTTTTGTTATTTTAGATAATTACAGAATTGAAATTGATATCTGCTTTCTTTAGTCCATTTTTAAATATTATATTATGTGTCTTTTAACTTTTCATAGTTAATGAATTCACTGTTATAGTAAAACCCTCATTATCAGGGCTTTGACTTAACCCAAGATTCTGTATTATCTGAGATGAACTTGTAAGTGAACATATCATTTTTCATGTAATTCATAAAAGCTTTGCATTCAACAAGAACCTAAATACTATATTACTTTAAACTCAACTGTACCAAACTATTGGCTGATGCTGAGATGACTATTTCTTTTTACTTTCCCAGCTGTTATATATAACAGAGGAAAAGTTTGATGATCGGTCAAAAAAATGCCATTTTATAATAGTTAAAAATATAAAAAGTTTTTAAATAAAATACGATAACAGATGGTGCCACTAAATGTTGCCAGCAAAGTTAAGCAACTTGTTGCTGTATTTTTAAAAATTCTTTCTGCCTTCTAGGTAGTAAGAACTTTTTTCAATGTCTGCAGATTTGGTCAGGCCCACAAAGAGGAACTGAGCTGGACATATCCGGGACAGACCACCCATGAAAAATGATGCTGAGATTACTGTAGGGCTTTACAGCAAAGATGGGAGGAACTAAAAAAAAATCTATAAGACTTTTTAACAAAAGTTTAAAAGAATAACACACATTACAGATTGACTTGTTTCTGTTGTCTTTCACCATTTAAGTTCAATATGAGACAAATCATTCATATTAGAATAATAAATACAATAATACACATTTTTATTCATAAAACTGTTGTACTGTACATATTAGCTATATAATAAATGATGTAAAAGGTGTATTTATTACATCTGATTAAATTCACTATGGCATAAAAGAGGATTTTAAGTGATAACATATAAATCTTTTATAGTCATAATTTTTTAATCCAAAATGGCCATGACTATCCACTTTATCTAAATTTTCAGTTATCCAAGGTGGCATCAGTCTTCATTACTGCAGATAATTGGGGGTCCTACTGTACTGTATTTTGAAATTATATTATTATATATGATATAAGAACATACTAATATATAATATAATGACTGTCATTACTAACATCTGATGTTTAAAATAATCTAATAATATAAAATATATAACATTATAATATTTCTCTTATATTTTTATCAACTATCAATTATTATAGACTATATTATACATTCAATATATGAACTTTTTTAGCTTTTAAAACTATATTTTATTTATGAATGTTTATTGATATGTATCAAATTGTTCTTTTCAAAGTATATTTTATTTAATATTATCAGTCATTTATTGATTTAATTTATGATATACTTATTGATAGCAATTACATATACAGTATTCATATTTTAATAAATTTATTTGTATAAACAAAAAATTTTATTTCAGTGCTTGGGGAGATTCACTTTTCTTGATGATAGAGACTGCAACCATTGCATATTTAGTACTTTTCTACAGTGGAAAATATCACAAGGCAGTAGCATTCACCTCATCTTACTCTCTTATTCTCTATCTTTTGATGAGTGGTTTAACACCCATTAAGATTTTGTGGACTTGCCAAGCATTTAGCTTACCAATTACCGTTAGTGGAAAGGTTAGGCTTTTTTTTCTAATTATTAAAATAATTTATTTATAACCTAATGTTTTTTCTTTAATTTTTAAAGTGAATATAAAGTTTTGCTTATCAATTGTTGTGCATCTGTAATTGAAATAATCCAGTTTGTGATATAGGTTATACAATTATACATCCATGTGATAAATATATCTGAAGTTTGTTTATTTATAAATGCATTCATTAACTAAAAAAAATTGCATATCAAAAAAGTAAATCATAAATTTTTAGTAGTTTCTTTGTATTAATTAGTGAACACTGAATCATAATTAATTTGAAAAAGTTGTTTTAATTTAAATGTTTGTATAATTGTATTCAAATTGATAAATCTAAATTAAAGAATACACAAAATGCTTAAAGCACATTTGAGTTAAAATGCTTGAAGCACCTAAGAATAATTTAAAAGCAAAATTAAATAGGTAAATATTGATAGTATTTAAACAAAAGTTATTCCTTTTTACAAATGGTTAATTGCCAATTAATTTTTATACCATTTTAAATTGGAGAACTTTTCCCCTTTCTTCATTCTTTTAATATAAAACAAGAAGAAAGAGAAAGCTGCATTAAGAATAATTTATCACAAATAACCTGCAGATTAAATTAATTAGTTTGGTCTTGTGTATTTTACTAAACAAATAAATAAAAATATTAAATCAAATTTCAACATTATATAATTAAAAAGAAGTGCATTTATTTGTAAACAAAAAAATTCCATAGTAGTACATAACAATTGAAAGTACACTACATATAAATTGATATTGCATATAATATACAATTTATATGCATGCATATAGTTGTCTATGCATTGTATAAAGTAATGTGCATATAAATTATATAGTAATTATTAATGAAAATTCTAAAACAATGCATTTTATTTATTTGTGGAAGAAATAATTTACAATTAAAAATTAAGTCGTATCTTTAAATAAATAATGAATAGCATTATCAAAATTTCTAAATTAAGTAAAATAAATTAATGAATTACTAAAGAATCAATTATAACCTTTTATTATTTAATTTTTATTTGTTACATTTAAAGAATAGAAAATTAATTATTTAAAATTTTGTTATTTAATTAAATTTTAAAGTAATTAAACTTTTCCATTTTCTTCTTTCTAATAAGTAAGCATTTATTTAGATGTTTGTTTATTTTTATTAGTTCAATTTATAATTAAAGTTTATTTTTGTACATAAAAGTAAGCTTTTTTGAAGTACAATCATAATAATTAATGAAAATTTTGGCAAGATTACTGCTATCCTTTTTTTTAAATCTAGTAATCAGCTTATTGAGATAACTGCAGCAATATCTTTCTCCAATCATTTCTGCACTGTTGATATACTCATTTGTCAGATGAATTTCTATCAGATGAGAATGATTTATTAATTATTAATTTGTTGATATTAAAGCAGATTAGAATTTTCTATTGGTCTGCTGTAAATTCATTTGGCAATTTATAATTAAAACAAAAGCCAAGCAAATGAATACAAAAATAAAAAGATGATATATTTCTTGCAGAAATTATTTGACTTTCTGCAAACTTTCACTCTGCCGTTTTTCCGCACCTTTACGGTGTTCGTTCAGCCAACTCACGTGTACTAGCATTTCAGACTTCAAATATAATGGTTGTCAACACCCAAGGGATCCACACTCCAATCACAATGTAATAGGATTTCGACAGGCAATATGTGTGGTGAACAACCACTTTACTGACTTCACACGATGACAAATATCATAGCGGTGGACCAATATTTGAACAGTGTCGGCGTATGATGTTCTCTGGAGATTTGTTGCATGTTTATCTTGCTAACGAAGTTGACGGTGTTTTTCTCACCGTCTCGAAAACTCTTCATGTAAACTAGGATCACTGCTTGTGGAAGATGTAGTATCCGTTTCGTGCATAAACAAACTAGATTAATTATAAAAGTGTTGAAAACATCGTTCCCTCCGAATACTCGATTTACTTTTTTGGGTTGTAAAAGGTTCAGTAGAACTTCAGCTAGTAGACTTTCATTATTCTTAGGCCAAACTGTCAAATTTTAAATTATAGCTTCGTGACCAGTTTATAATAGTAATAACAATTCAGGTTTGTTATTTTTCTCCCCCTGGTGATTTTCGTTATAATTAGTTTTCTTAAAGGAATTTTTATTTCATCCGAATAAATTTACGCTCTTTTCAGTTAGTAATTACACCAGAAACTTATATAGTGTACTAATTTATATATTTAATATTCCAAACAACTATTTTATTTTCTACTTTATTAGTAGAATAAGAAGCGATATAAAAAAACCGAAAAATATCTTCACGAAGATATTTTCTCGATATGCTGTGTTTACAAAGTATAAATTGATATTTTATACACTAGATGGAGACACCATTTAAAACGTTGATGGACATTCACCAAATTGAAATTAGCATTTTCGGCATTTAAAATATGTTAAATAAATGTGTAGTAGTGAAAGTTTTTAATCATTCATTCAAATAATTAAGTATTGTGTAAAAGTGATGCTTATCTGTTTTAAACAATTTATTTATTGTATTAAAATTATGGTAATTCTAACAACTTACAATAGAAGTTAATTGAGGTTAAGCTAATTACTGAAGTTTACTTTTAAAAACAATGGAAGTAACGACAATGATTGCGAATAAAGAAGAAAATTTGCTATGAATGCGTAGTTGTTTGTATTATATGTATATCTTTATTGAAAAAGTTTTTATATTTCGTTTTTAACTAAGATTAATAATTATTATTTAAAATAAATTTTATTATTAATGGCTATTTAATTGAACTAAAAAATACTCATATTAATTTTATTAATATGGTAGTAATACCTGCCAAAACTGGAAAAAATATTCGATGCCATTCCGGTTTACGTAGGTTTTACTGTATTACAAATTATATTTTCTCCATTTTAACACAAATGGTTTTTTGTTCTAATCAAAAATTCTTACTGTAAATCTAGAAATTACAGTGTAAATACTTAGTCTAAATATTTTTGTAAGTAAGAAAAAAAATTAAAAACTTTCGACCTGATTAACTATCCTAAAATGAATTAGATCAACTCATTTTCTAGGCCAACTCGAGATTTTCAAAATAAAAATAAAAAAAAAAAGAGAGAGAGAGAGAGAGGAGAAAGATATTTATAATAACAGCTAATAAATGTATGTATCGATTATATAATTTCTACTAATCTAATCTCGTCCAATTAAAATTTGATTATTTGGACCAATTTAGTTTAAAAGTCTCAAATCTGAGATAGTAATGACTATTGATATTGTAATCAGGACTAAATTACTGTATGACGGTAATTGGAAACAAATTGTTACCTGCGTTCTTATTAGGGCATATTACCTTTAGTTACTTTATTAACTGTTGATTTTTTTTACCTTTTTTATTTTTTTGTTTTTCTCTATAGTTACTACAGGCCCTGGCTAATTACAAAAACGGACACACGGGACACTTATCTGCCGTTTCCATGGTTCTTCTGTTTCTCGGAGGTTTGGCTAGGATATTTACTTCGATTCAAGAAACTGGCGATAGCCTGATGATCGTCACTTTTTGTGTAGCAGCATCGGCTAATCTTCTACTTGTCCTACAGATTTTTTATTATTGGGAAGCTACGCAACGATTTTTGAAAGGCAAAACCGATTAAGAAGAAGAAAATATTCCATTTTAGCCGATCCGTCCCATTTTCGTCACTTTAAGCTACTACACTCGACGAGATTTATAAAAATTGCAATACTTTACAAATTGTTAAATAAGTGAGAAGTTAATTATTAATTGTTTCAAAGATTTTTAGCTTATACGATTGGTTTGTTTTAATCTTATTATAATTTTTAAATTGTATATTAGTTAAATTATACAAGTAGTAATTCCGAAATCTCCTATAAGATGTAAGCGACTGGTTTCGATACCGAAACAAACTAAAAATAATCAATTGTTTGTATATTAAATCGAATGTACGTGTTAAAAAATAATTAGTAAAATGCAAATAATAAGTTTAAAATAGATCTGAAATCTTCGTTATCAATAGAAGATTGTTTTATTCGGGAGATTTCATTAAAATGTGTAACGAAAAGTTCTGGATAAGTCAGAAAACTCGCCTTATCGGACAAATTTAACTATACTCATTCCGTCATTGCAATAAAATTAATAATGATATGTATATACTATAATATATAAAAACATCTTACTAACTTCACGTTTTAAAATATAAAACATTCACAATTTTCTTTATATAATTATAGTAATAGTGGGAACAATTTTTTATTGTTTAATCTATTGTTTAAAGTGAAAACGTGTCGTTTTTTTTTTATTACGAAATTGTACAATGGATTTTCCTTTACGAATATTATTAGAATGTATTTATACTAAAAGATCATTTTAGCTTTTCATCTTGAATAAAATTGAGTATGGATATGGTCATTTGAGTTATTTATTTGAAATGGATTAATAACTTATATGACAGATTCAAATTATTCTGATATTCTCAGAATATTTACGCGGTGCTTTTTTTTATTATTTATTGCTTCTGTAGTGTTATGTAAATTGAAATGTTATAATCAAAATTTGAAAAGCTTAAAAAGCACTTAATATTTTAATCATTTAACTTAGAATTTTTTAAATATATCAGTTTAAATTCGTGTACATTCTGTTATAAAATTCGGCCTAGACGTATCATATTTCTTTAAACAATTGAATTTTTACAAAGATTATCAATTAAGATACATATACACATGGAAAATCTTGGAAATGTTGACTGGCAGCATTTATAGCTTAAAATATTTTCTTTTATAAATCCTTACGGAAGGAATATTTTAAAAATCAAACTTAGATATATTTTTAAAATTTATAGTTTGATAAAAGTATTGCTATAAATCAGTGCATAATCATACTAAAATCGCGATGACAAAATTTAACCGTATCACGTTTTAAAGTTGATTTAATACTTCTCAACTCAACCTTTTCTTGCCGTAAAGTTGAATTAGCGACCTTGCAGAAATAAAATGTCAGTCATTTGTAACGTAACAAAAATAGTAATAATATCAGCAATTAATAAATACTTCATGTTACAGCAATTACTAATTTATAAAAATTTGAACATTAATGTTATAAAATCGATTAAAAAAATGCTGTTTGAGAAGTTGATATATTTGACATAAGCTTTTTGGTTATTATTTGAATTTTATTGATAACAAGTAGATTATAATGAATTCATAAAATGTAAAAAATCTATAAGATTCATCATTAAATAACATACAACTGTAAGGTATGTATTTTAAATGTTTTATGTTAAACAATGATTGATAGTCTTATAGTTGTTCAGATCTATAAAAATGAATATTAATAAAGTGTTTATATATATATATATTTGTTAGTATGGCGGTTTGTTAACTAATAACCGTGTAAATATTAACGCAGTGTTAAGTAGGATATAGGCCTACTGTACAGAACATTGTCGTGTTGGGTTAAAGAAATGTCGCAACACTAAGATTCTCATGCAAGTCAATAGTTATCCTGTATGTTATGACAATGTAGTGATCCAAAGCGGAGAACAAGATGTAGAAAGTGATAAAGATATCGATAAAATATCCCCATAAACCGTCCACAGCCGCCCAGGAAATGGATCATAACCCTAACGGCTTGATGTTCGCCAATGTTCCTTCTCCGCTTAAACTTGTATAAGGACAGATTTAGCTCAGTGAGCAAGAAGTTATGATCTGGAGCCATTTGTCTGGACCTGTGTTTTCTTGCAGTATTGTCTGCTGCTAGCTGTGATTTACTTCTTTCCAGACGACCATTCACAATATAAGAATACTTTGAACAAGCTAAGGAACCTTTCAAGTTGTCCATTAAATGTTTTTCTCTTCAAAGATCTAACCAGCAAAAAAATAACACTGACCTATTAAAATATTATTATTTCCCCCGACGACACCCAAAACATATTAGGCTATCAAATTTTATTTTGCCAATAAATATAAAAATTTCTGCTCGAATCTAGTAGCGTGGCTCTCGGATATTCCATCTTTTTTTAAGGTTTAAAAAAAAATAAAATAACAAATTAACAGTTAAATTCCCCTCGTAAAATCTTTTATTTAACAAGTTTGGTAAAGTTGGACCATTGTTTTATCTAATTTTGGCATTTAAATAATATAAAAAAACAGCTACATAATTAGCGGAATGTGACAAAAGAACGAACGGATTAAGAATTAAAGCTGCTTGAGTATGTAAACAATGTTCAGTTGGGAATATTCGAGTGCTGAAGAAGAAAAGTTAAAAAAGCTTTGCGTTAATTTGATTAATTGGAAGACGTAAGGGAACAGCACACGTTTTTTTCCTGTTCTCTGCCTCTATAGTGAATGACGACTTTTACAGGCTTCATGTTATTAGAGGGGGAGGACACCTAGCAATTGAAATTGGCAGCCATTTCCTCCTCATCGGTTCAACGAATTTAATTTATTCTCTCTCTACCTTTATTAGGAACTTTCTGTAGTTTCCTACATTATCAATAATGTCCCCTTTCAACCATGTACTGCTAGGTTTCCCTTTTTTCTACCCCTCTAAGCATGGCACAATGAGGATCAGCGGAATAGTAATTAGAGCTATTCTGATTCACAATTTTATCTATCAGTACTGTGGGCAATTATGACAAAATTATCATATCTGATAAAACAATCGAATAGAAATTTTTTACTTTAAACTATTTAGAAAAAACATTTTTATGTTGCAAGAAACTGAACTGAAAAAAAAATATATATATATATACAAACTTATATACCGAAAATTCAATCATAAGCAAACAGTTTAAAGGAATGTANATGTGAAAGTGTTACGTAAGTTAAAAATAATAGAAAATAATGCAGATTAGCTGAGTTATAATGATGGAAATTTATAGAAAGGTTAAAATTATGCAGAAACATATTATTAATTAAAACATTATGCAAATTAGTCTGGCTTTTCTATAAGAACACTTGACTACACTACTCATTTCGTATGAGATAAAAGAATGAGACGTTAGAGTAAAGATAAAGAAAAATTCCTTCTCACTTGTCTTGTGGACTATCAATAATAAAGATAGATTCAATATTAGGAATATGGAAATAAACTCTTTCAAGTGTCTTGAGAGGTGAAACAATAACTTTCGCAAATGTTTATTTGGCCACCCAATTTGTTGAACTGAAAAAAAAATATATATATATATACAAACTTATATACCGAAAATTCAATCATAAGCAAACAGTTTAAAGGAATGTATAGTATAGAATTTCAAATATCATGTGTGATAGGTATAACATAGTTGTATTATTCTCCTTACACGGTATTACAAATAGAAGGTAAATTTCGAATCTGAAGGAAGAGAAAAATTAGTAAACGTGAGTTCCGTCTCAACATATCGTTTGTAATTCCTTGAGTTTCTCGTGTCGCAAGACATCCGAACAGATGGCTGTATTTATTGCGAGATATACCCTATGCTCTTCATCTGTGGTATTTCTATATCACAGTTTTGGACTTTAAATGCATGAAAAGTCGATTCGGTTAGTGGTAGAATTTAGCAATATGCCATATATAGGACTACAGAATGTAGTTGAACTGTAAAAAAAAAAAAAAATTGTTTATAATACTAAAATGCATTTTTATATAATATATGCTTATATATACTTTTTTTTAAATAAATAAAAAACCATATCGTTATAATAAATGTCTTATGCATATTTATAAGTAAGCTATGTGGGATGTTTTCATCTCTTTAAATTGCATGACTAAAAAAAATAATAATAATCTCACCTAGCGCTATAACGAATGATGCATTTGACATATTCTATCTCCTCCAGACAAGATGATGATGTGCACAGGACGGTCTCCAACCGCCCACAGGTGAGCCTTTCACCTGCAGGTGACATATCCCTAGCTGGAGTTGGATCTAATCATGGAGATTTTTTTCCGGTTCCAATTTTTATTCTTTTGGTTTGTTTCCAAACTAGATATAGTTCGTCCAACTCCTTTCCATAGTGGATAGATGGTTACAAAACCAAAATACTTTTTAAAACGTTTAAAAATTGTAATTTATCTATATTTTCTTGCATACAGAACATTTTCTCAAAGCTCTGTTGGAAAGAGAAAGTACAATTGTTTTAATTATTAATTAATTAAGCTAACTTAAAAAAATAAAATTTCATTTTTAATAATTTTATTTTCAATTTTTTAAGTAAATTTGTAATATTAATTAGTTTTTTTCTTCAATCAATTATGTCTCCAGGTATGCTAAATGTTAATTTATATATGCGTTAGGGTAGGCTTATATTATGTTAGTTTAGATATTAAATAATTTTTAAAGTTAATAAGACGCATATTTCATTATAAATTAAATAAAGTGTAATGACTAGAATGTGAAAAGCTCGAACTTACTTTTTTTTTTAACTTAGTCTAATTGCTTAGATACGCTCCGTTCTAATATAATTTATTATTATTTTTTTTTTAAAGTTAAGCCAATGTTAATATTAAACGAGTAAATGTCAAATAAAATTGATAATTCAATTAAAATTTAATAAATTCGTTTCATTCGCTTATATATTTACGTCACATTAAAGTATAATTTATAAAATGATAAAAGAATTGCAAGTTGGCAGAATTTAATTAGCATTAAGACTTGCTTGAGTATTTTAATATGAAATAGAAAAATAATATTCTGTTTCTACTGTCTCCCATAAATATTCACAAAGATAAACTTTGCAATGTAAACTAGAAAATGATTGAAACTAGTTAAATTTCTGTTAGAATATATGCATAAATAAATTGAAATGTTTTAGATATTAATACTTTTCATCGAGTGGTTCTCTGTTCCCCCCTCTTCTCTTAACACAAAATACCATTATCAAAGAAAACTAAATCATTGATAAAAGTAAATGCTACGAAATTTTGTCGATATTTTTCATTTTTTAAATGCAAACATCGCTATTGAAAATGCTTTTCTAATCAAC